AAGGATGAAGAGTAAAGAAATGGTTCGTGTATGCAGTGAAGGAGGACATGCAAAGCGTAGGCGCAATAGAAGAGGATGCTAGAAATGGGGTAAGATGGTGGCAGATGATCGACAAATCAGAGAAACAGCCAAACGAATAAGAAGTTTATCCACGTGGCTCAAAGTTAGAGCCGCTGGTGTTAGGCTGCAAAATTGTATTTATATTTAAATTGGCAAATGTTGTAGAAAAAGATGGAGGAGATTAATACAGAATCTAATGGTTTAAATGTGTGTTTGTGTAGAGGAAGCAGGCTGTGCTGATGTCTATTATCAGTGGTGACGCTGTTTCTTCTGTGCGGGACATGGAGGACAAAGAGGTGGTCGATGAGTGCATGAGGGTACTGCGGGAACTTTTCAAAGAGCAGGTAATCCTCCTACTTCTCCTAAAATCTTTCAGGAGTTATACGTAGAAGTTTGAGAATAATAAAGAAATAATAGGAGTATTTAAAAAAACAAAACAAAACAAAACAAAAACCAACAACCAAAAATCATATTTTTGAAATGAGAGAGAACTCCGTCTGAAATTTGTTATATGATATTACCAGAAACCTTCCAAGAAAGTTAATTTGGATTCAATGTGTTATACCTGGGGAAACATCACATTGAAGTAAGATCCTCTGTCAGAGATTAAAATATTTAAGGACTCCAAACATCCATCAATCAATATTCATAGACTCATTGTGTCAGATATTTACACAAAACAACTGAACAACTTACCTTTTGATATTTATTCTTTTTATTTTTTTTAAGATACAGGGATTAAAAAAAAAAAAAGTTCTGTAAATTATATTACTACAAGGGCAGAAAGAACACCTCTACCTACAGCCATTAAAATATATTTTGGACAATGCTGACTTGAAATTTTGTATATCTCCTAATTAGAGGTGTATTATTTTCCCCTGGATTCCTGTTTCTTCATTTTTTTTTAATTGTATTTATTTTTTTAGTTCCCAATGCTCTCATTTAAGTTCAGATTTATATGCATGTATTTAGGAGGTTCCTGAGCCAATGAATTTCTTCATCACTCATTGGAGCAAAGACATCTGGTCCCAGATGTCCTACAGCTTTGTGAAGACAGGGGGCAGCGGAGAGGCCTACGACGTTCTTGCTGAAGACGTGCAGGGAAAGGTGTTTTTTGCTGGCGAGGTAACATTTTTCTAATTTTTACCAAATGAGTCCAGAAACGTCAGGTTTTATGAAGTGCTACTGAGGCATTTATTTCATTTCTATTGTACATAAATGTGTTTTGCATTAACACGATCCTGCTGTGGCTGTATGTATCACACTAACTTTGCATTCTTAATCTTTGTTGTAGAAATTGAGTCGCACAAGGCCTGTAATAGTGAGCCGCCTCATGTTTCAGTTATTTTTACAGGAATCATTTTAAATATTCGTTTTAGAGTCTGACTGAACGTTGACAGAAGTCATCCACCTTGAGGTTGACGGTCTGGAAACTCAGCTCCAAACATCATTAAGCAGCCTTTTGTGTTACTGCTTGTTTCCCTAAATCTCTTCTACAAAGGCAAGAGTGCAAAAGTTACGTGAGCCACAGACATTCTACATTTAATCACACTATCTCTGGCATCTCTTTTTCAATCCAGCAGGTTGAGGGGGCGAAAATTAAATGATATTCGAGTCTTCTGTAGATGATGTCCAACAAAGATTTCTATTCAAAGATAACTTTTCTGATGTTCTAGAGCTGTTTAACACTAAAACAGACCTAAGTGGATAAGGATGAATTTGCTTATGTTTTGTCACTTAGAGAATCTAAATTCATTTGGTCAGTGCTTTGATGTCTTTCCCCTGTAACAGGTCTATCAAATTTTATCAAAGTCTTCCAGTAAGCTGCTCTGCTCAATAAGAATGATTCTGGAGCAGCAGTCAGGCCTCGCATCCTTCTCTCCTGTTGTTTTCCTGCTCTGACAAATTAAAATGTCTCCTGCTGTGGAAATGGTCCCTATACACTTAAGGCCACTGTGTTAGGTACACCTTTTCAAATGCTTATTAATGCAAATATCTAATCGGCAAAACACATGGAAGCAGCTCAGTGCGTTTTGGAAAGTAGAGATGGGCAAGATGATCTGCTGAAGCTCGAGCTGAGGATCAGAATGGGAAAGAAGAAGATTTGAGAGAATTTGACTGTAGCATGGTTGTTGGTGCCAGACAGGATCGTCTGAGTATTTTCATAGCTACTGAGATTTTCCCACACAACCATGTATATGGTTTATGGAGAATGCAATTCTCTGAGCAAAAATGTCATATTGAGGTCAGAGGAAAATGGCCAGACTGCTTTGAGCTGATACTAAGGTAACAGCAACTCAAATAACCACCCAATTGTACTGAAGCTAAGCAGAAGAGCATCTTTGAATGCAAAACATGCCAAACCTTGAAGCAGATGGGCTACAGCAGCAGAAGACCACACAGGAACAGGAAACTGAAGCTACAATTCTCATAGGCTCACCAAAACTAGACAACAAAAAGTTGTAATTGTGTTGTCTGGTCTGATAAGTCTCTATTTCTGCTGTGACACTTGGATGGAAGGGTCAGAATTTGCGATCGATAACATGAAAGCATGGATCCATTCTGCTTTGTATCACAGGTACAAGCTGCTGGTATAAGAAGGTACGGGTGTTTCCTGGACCTCCTGATTATTATTTATATTCTATAGCCTATCTAACCTCTCTGAAGACCAAAAGGAGGTCCAACACAGTATTAAGAAGATGTAGCTAACAAAGTGGCCATGAGTGTATATGGGTATTTTTAAACTAGCTCTCTGTCTGTGAAATGTGCTTTTAATGCATTTTGTCCCTTATATCAGGCAACCAACAGACACTTTCCTCAGACTGTGACGGGAGCCTACCTCAGTGGCGTCAGAGAGGCCAGCAAGATGGCCGCTATGTAACCTGTCACTCCCAGAGCACTCATAAACACCAGCACGGACTCACGGGTTGCACCGAACAACAGACCATTAATAAAGTCGGACTGTGTTGTCTCACTTGCTCCACTTGAAACACTGTTTTGCTGTACTGTTATGTATCTGATCAGCAAAGTGTCGTGAATGATTTTTCAGTAGTGGGGTTAGCCAGGGCCTGGTTTGACATATCTAACAAGTGCTTTTTATTTATATCAAAATCCAACAGGTAACATGTTTGTGACAAGATGCAAAAAAAAGAAAAACAAAATTATGAGGAAGTCTCCATAGCCCCTAAGTAGCTCTGCCTAACTCTGCTGTGCTGGAAAGGAGGATGGTATTTTGTTTTAATGATATTTGTTTTTAGCAATGCATGAAACATTGGAAACTCTGAGTGATCTGATCATAAACTTAACCGAATATAATTTAACCTCCAATCATCAGGTTTTAAGTGATTATAGGATATATATGTAACATGTCTTCTTTGAGAATTACCAATGTTTTCTACAACTGTAGTGATTTGACTCGTTCTATTTGTGAGTCACGTGTTGCTATAAATGGTGAAGTTGAATGGATGAAAGGATATATATATGTAATACAAGTACCTCTACAGTAGCTCTTTATTTAAATCAACAGCAGCAAAATGAAAAAAATCACCTGTGAAAAATTGAATGACCCTTTGAGCTAAGGTTGATCACCTGGTTGTCCCCATATTTTCTCAGGGATGCGTTCAGGACACTTTTCACCCATCAAACTAAACCTAATGAGTCATAGAGTAAAATTATAAGAACTGACAGTTTTAAAGGCAGTTTTTGTGAAGAAAAACCGCAACTAACCAAAGTATTAAAACTCCACACTGCTCTTGTATTTATTCTTGAACAGTTAATTTCCTGAGGGTTGTTGAGCAGCACAGACTCTTCTCACTTTTTTTTTTTTGATTAATATTGACTGATTTGTCATTAGGTTCATAGCATTGTCTAGATCAGCACATTTACAGCATGTGGTCATGTCCTGTTTGTCATTATAGTGCTCTAGTATTTATCTTGTATGTGTGTGTAATAAACTGAGCTACCAACTGCCACAGTAATCACGTTTACTCGTGGATAATTTTTTTTCCTGCTTAAGTCATACTAAGATCAGAATCGTACAGAAACTACACAAATGTTTTGGGTTCCTCCTCATTGCTTTATATTTTGCTTCCAAGGAGACAGACTTTCTTCCAAACTTTTAAAGGTGTTGAGTAGTAGTTCTCCAGGCTTTAAAAAATTTTTCTTTGGGCATTGGCTGCTTGTTTCACTTTTTTCAGTCCCTATATTTGTCCATTTTCAGAGGAATGTTTTGTTTATTGAACCACTAAATAATCTGAACAATTATGAATTATTCTTCATATTAATTTTACATTAATAAAAAATAACTACGTTTATTTTGAGCAAACATCGAGTAGTCTTACTGCTCCTTAAAAGGTTAGTCGACTATGTCCCAAAAAAGTAAGTAATATTAAATAAATAAATAATATTTTATTAATAGTAAAAAATAACAAATGACGGAATGAAGACTGAATTTCTCTCACAGATGTTTTCTTTTTATTTCAAATCCAGAATTCCTTCTGCGCCATGTCTGACTCTGGTTTAGATTAGTTGCTAGGTTTTGTTGCGAGGCAACCGTGGAGCCAGTAGACCAATGACGTTAATAAGCGTCATCAATGCGAGCCCAAGTGCTTTCCCTCCCCAAACTAAAGCGGAAGTAAACAAATCAAACATGAACTGGGACCGTATTACACCCGTTATTGCAAAATCTGCTTGTTAAACTGTAGCTTTAGATTGCGGATCGGTTCTGTTAATATCGGCTCATAAATACATCCTAGAGGCAGCTGAAACAAACCGCCACCTTCAACCCACAGCGAAAATCGAGTAACAGTAAAATCAAGTTGGCGCGTTTTTACTGCGGATGAAGAGCAATATTTGCTTACACTGACCAACATAATGGACTGTAGCACCGCTGACCTGCACGCTAACGTGGCACACGACTCTGCAGGTAGCCGGATGCTGTTCTTAATTTTACCTGAAGAGGCAAACATGTTATTGAACTGCGCAGCTAACTGCTAACTTAGCTTATAACTTCGTGGTAATGCACCCACGCCACTGCTGATAGCTTGATTTAAAAGCGTTAATCATGAAAAAGTTTAACCTGATTTAATTCAGTAATTATTTTTTTAACGGTGTGTATGGTTTGATCAGAGATTTTTGCAAAACATCACTTTTGCAAACAAGACGTACTTCTGGTATTAATGATAAACTGTGATGGATAATGGAAACTTAGCTAAACACTACACTCTTCTCCTTATACTATAGTTATTGCACGTGTAGCTAGACCACATTCATGTGCACGTTTTGCTTTTGACTTTGGAGATTTTAAATTCATATAAGAAAATATGTGCCTTTATAGTAATACATAATTAAATCCCCAATATTTGATCAATGATAAGTCTAGCTAAGATTAGCTCAGTGTGGACCAGATACATCATTGAGTGGCTGTATATTCATAGGTTATTATCAGGAATGTATTCAAAGGGAAAGAAAGGACAGAATACTAGAGATGCTAGGCATCAGAAAAAGATGGCATGGGAAAGCTCAAAGTGAGTTTTGTATGCAACTCGACACTACGGATGGAGAAAATAGGCCGGGGTGAGTAGTAAGGAGTAACTGAGGGCATCTATGAAGAGAATGAAGGGTGGGGAGAGATGAAGACATGACATACCTATGGAAGTATGGAGAAGTCTAGGAGAGAATGTCTTTGGAATCAGAATACTTTATTAATCCCCAAGGAAATTATGTGGGTTACAGTTGCTCCAAGACAGTAACAGACTAAACTATTTAAATAATACACTATGTTACAGAGTTTACAAACTTATGAAGTAGCGCTAATATATACAAATTGCACCCATCACATCACATACACATCACGGATATTACAGAGGTGATTATAAATATCAAGAATATTGACAAAGAATTTTACAGAGGTGGAATATATATGATTCACATTTAACTCTGTGAATTTTGTAATTTGCTATTTTACTGTAGAGCATATGCAAAAAAGGGTGTAACTATTATTGCAGTGTTTACAGTGTATTAGGTGGAGGAGTTGTACAGGGAGATGGCCACGACTGGAATGATTTCCTGTGTTGTTCAGGTTGTTTTTGGTAATCTCAGTCTCTCACTGAACGTGCTCCTGTGACTACTTGGAGAGTAAGAGGATGCCTGAGGGATGGAAAAGACAGACTGGTACTCATTTTCAAGAATAAGGGAAATGTTCAGTGCTGTAGTAACTACAGAGGGATAGAGTTGATGAGTCATTGTTGAAGCTAGGCTGAGAAGAGAAGTTATGAGGTGACGATCTGTGAGGAGCTGTGCGATTTCTTTCTGAAAAATAATACTACAAACGTGATGTTTTGAGAGTGTTGATGGAGAAGAATATAGAAGGTTTGATGGAGGTGCAGGACATGATGATGGTCATGGTGAGTACAGTGAGATAGTAGTGTAATGGGTGGAGGTGTGATTACATTGGGGACTGAGCTGACAATATTAAGATTGTAATGGGGACTAACCAGAATGGATAAGATTAGAAATGAGTACATCAGAGGGGCAGCTCAGGTTGAGCTGTTTGGAGGCAACGCTAGAGAGACAAGGCTGAGATGGTTTGGACATGTGCAGAGGGATATATGTGGATGGATATATTGGAGGAGTTGGTATGACAGAGGAGATTGCTAAGAAAAGGTTGAGATTGAGGTAGATGATCTGCTGTGATGACCCTCAAAAGGGAGCAGCTAGAAGAAGAAAATGATGATGTACTCGGCGTATGATAAGAAAGGGATGTACTGAGCCAATGCATGATAAATGGATATTGCTAAATAAGTTGTCATTTCACAATCATACTGCACCATATGACATACAGTATGATATGGTGCAACTGTGGCACCAATCAAGAAAGTTAAAGATCAACATTGGATTTTTGTATAGAAAGAAACACTTTTTCTCATCCACTGGGTGTAGCATCGTAGCAGTCTGCAGATTTATATTTTATTTTTATTGTGACATTGTTTATATAAATGATTCTGCATCCAATTTGAAGCCTCTTGAGCCTTGGTATTATTGTGCGCTGGGTATTTTGGAACTATCTTTGAACATCCTGTTTTATTTAAACATGTACAGTGGGGCAAAAAAGTATTTAGTCAGCCACCGATTGTGCAAGTTCCCCCACTTAAAATGATGACAGAGGTCAGTAATTTGCACCAGAGGTACACTTCAACTGTGAGAGACAGAATGTGAAAAAAAAATCCATGAATCCACATGGTAGGATTTGTAAAGAATTTATTCGTAAATCAGGGTGGAAAATAAGTATTTGGTCACCTCAAACAAGGAAAATCTCTGGCTCTCACAGACCTGTAACGTCTTCTGTAAGAAGCTTTTCTGTCCCCCACTCGTTACCTGTATGAATGGCACCTGTTTGAACTCATCATCTGTATAAAAGACACCTGTCCACAGCCTCAAACAGTCAGACTCCAAACTCCGCCATGGCCAAGACCAAAGAGCTTTCGAAGGACACCAGGAAAAGTATTGTAGACCTGCACCAGACTGGGAAGAGTGAATCTACAATAGGCAAGCAGCTTGGTGTGAAAAAATCAACTGTGGGAGCAATCATCAGAAAATGGAAGACATACAAGACCACTGATAATCTCCCTCGATCTGGGGCTCCACGCAAGATCTCATCCCGTGGGGTCAAAATGATCATGAGAACGGTGAGCAAAGATCCCAGAACCACACGGGGGGACCTGGTGAATGACCTGCAGAGAGCTGGGACCAAAGTAACAAAGGTCACCATCAGTAACACACTACAACGGCAGGGAATCAAATCCCGCAGTGCCAGACGTGTTCCGCTGCTGAAGCCAGTGCATGTCCAGGCCCGTCTGAAGTTTGCCAGAGAGCACATGGATGATACAGCAGAGGATTGGGAGAATGTCATGTGGTCAGATGAAACCAAAGTAGAACTTTTTGGTATAAACTCAACTCGTCGTGTTTGGAGGAAGAAGAATACTGAGTTGCATCCCAAGAACACCATACCTACTGTGAAGCATGGGGGTGGAAACATCATGCTATGGGGCTGTTTTTCTGCCAAGGGGACAGGACGACTGATCCGTGTTAAGGACAGAATGAATGGGGCCATGTATCGTGAGATTTTGAGCCAAAACCTCCTTCCATCAGTGAGAACTTTGAAGATGAAACGAGGCTGGGTCTTCCAACATGACAATGATCCAAAACACACCGCCCGGGCAACAAAGGAGTGGCTCCGTAAGAAGCATTTGAAAGTCCTGGAGTGGCCTAGCCAGTCTCCAGACCTCAACCCCATAGAAAATCTGTGGCGGGAGTTGAAAGTCCGTGTTGCTCGGCGACAGCCCCAAAACATCACTGCTCTCGAGAAGATCTGCATGGAGGAATGGGCCAAAATACCAGCTACTGTGTGTGCAAACCTGGTAAAGACCTATAGTAAACGTTTGACCTCTGTTATTGCCAACAAAGGTTATGTTACAAAGTATTGAGTTGTATTTTTGTTATTGACCAAATACTTATTTTCCACCCTGATTTACGAATAAATTCTTTACAAATCCTACCATGTGGATTCATGGATTTTTTTTTCACATTCTGTCTCTCACAGTTGAAGTGTACCTCTGGTGCAAATTACTGACCTCTGTCATCATTTTAGGTGGGGGAACTTGCACAATCGGTGGCTGACTAAATACTTTTTTGCCCCACTGTATATTGCGTTCTTCTCTGTCTGTCTAAAGTCTTGTATTTTTTTGTCTTTGTTGAAAAAAAGATCTTGATCTGAGATGACCTGTTCAAATAAAGGAATTAATCGTAATAATAATCAGTGTGTCAAATGAAGGTGAATGCAATAAGAAATCATCATATGAATGCTTTTTTAATTAAATCACAAATATGATTTGATTTTTGAAAAGATTTCATATTAAGTAGCTTATCCTTTTTTCTAAAGTAACATTAACTACATTATTACATTTGCTGTACCAAAAATACTGATATTTACAGTTATTTATCCGACTGTGTGTCTGACTAATCAGATGGGAGCTCCAGCAGTGATGAGGACTTAGTGCCTCTATCAAAGCTGCTGATGAGGCAACAGAGTGATGAGAAGGAGTCATGCGACAATACCCGCAGCTTATCCTCCAACTCCAACAATAAATCAAAAAAGGACAAAGGTGATGATAATACCAGCTGTTTTATCAGTAAAAGTGTTTACACTAAATATTTCTCCGACCAATTATTTGATTAAATTTTGCATGTTTATATCTTCTCTCACAGGTTCAGATGGCTCCTCGGATGATGAGCCGCTAGTAAAGATGAAGACAAGCCTTGCACCACCTAAGAAACAAGAGAAAAAGGAAAACACACCACCCAAATCTAACAGCACAAATAACAAGAACACAGGTGACCCCATGCTTTTTTCATTGTTTGTTCTTCTGACTTGTGTATAGAGTGAATGGCTTCACATTTTTGCTTTCTGTGTTTAAATACAGACGAAGACTCTGACAATGAGCCTCTGATAAAAATTGCCAAAATTTCCTTGAAAGCTGTGAAAAAACCTCCCTCAGTTCCAACCAAAAAAGCTGCTGGTAGAAAGAAGAAAGGTGAGATGACTTTCTCTCCAGTGGACTGGGGTATCGTCAGACATCTGCTATATCAGATGCTTACTTTGGGATTCCTTTTCTCACACAGAGTCACTGGGCAAGGACGACAGCTCCGATGATGAGCCTTTGAGTCAAGTTGCCAAGAAACCTCGGTCACGGCACGAGAGAAGAGCAGCTGCTGAAAAAGCAAACCCGGTTACCAAATCCAAAAGAAATGCTGCAAAGAAAAAGGGTTGGTTTGAAAGTTTGAGCTCAACTAAAATGAAAAAATCCCACAAGACCTTTATTGAGTTCAAATAACTTGTTGCTGTTTCGTTTAGTTAAATATACTGAGACGTCCACTGACAGCTCAGATGATGAGCCACTGGCGGCGATAAAGAGGAAGTCATCGAAACATAGAGGTAGGCAAAGTCTTCAGTAGGCTGATTGATTTTAAGCAGGTTTTAACTATAGGTAGTTTCGTTTTTAGCCTCTTAAATTTTAAAACAGCGCTTCTTTTGCAGACAGCAGCTCAGATGATGATGTGCCCCTTGTGGACCTCGTTGCCAAGAAAAGGAGGCCAGTGAAGAAAAGCCCAAAGAAGAGCACCGTAACACGAGGGCGAGCATCAAACAAGAGAAAAGGTACTCTCACAGCGCTGATGACTTGAACAAAACAAAGAAAAGTTTAAAACATTTTCAATCTTTGTTTTAGCAGAAGTCAGTGATGATAGCTCAGATGAAGAACCGTTGATTAATCTTGTGAAAAAACCTCGTGCTATCAAAAAACCCAAAACAAAGGCTCCCACTCTGAAGAAGAAGAGCACACCTTCTAGGAGTCCAAGAAAGAAGCCAGGTAAAGACTGACCACACCACTCCGAGATGTCACATTTATAACTTAGAAGTTTGAGTCATTACGTTGAAATCTTCAGCTTTTGATTTGATATACTGTACCTTTATTAGTCCCACAAGGGGAAATTTCATAAGGCTGCCGCAATGGTGGCGCCATCTTACCCTCCGACCATACATACATGACACAAAACATCACATGGGGAAAACAGGTCAGAGAGGTATAACAATGGAAAATGCACCACATGAGGAAAGATAAGGAGAAAAAAATAACTCCCCTCAGACTGAGCTCCAACAGGGAGATCAGTTTGAGAACAGAAAAAAACACCTCTGCACATAGCACATGAAAAAACTCTTAATACACCAAAGAAACACATGACAAGCAACAGGGGTGGGTAAAGGGTGAGAGACAGCCGATTTAGACAGTACATCCGGGCCTGCAGCCTGTGCGCTGGTCTCCTTGATCCACCGTCAGCATCGGAAGGGAATAAGCGTCGAAGGCGTTTGGAAAGGGAGGGGGGATGAGTGTGTGCATATCAGTGTATATGTATGTGTGTGCCTGTCCAGAGTTCAGCTGAGACAGTGCATTCAGAGACTCTGCCATGCAAAATTAATTAATTGTTTTTTTAAAATATATTTTTAGCGGTAGAAACAAACTTCCATACTGTAAGTAAGTAAGTAAACTTTATTTATTAAGCGCTTTTCACAGACAGGTAATCACAAAGCGCTGTACACAAATATTAAAATATTAAAATAAACAATAAAATCAATAGACATTATATACAATGTAAAAGATCAAATGTAAATAATGTAAAAAATATATATAAAATATGTAGATCAACAAAAGGCTTTGTTGATCCGTTTGGTGTAGTAACAAACATATGTCTTACAAGCTTCTGAAATATTAAACAATTTGTCACAATTGTTTAATTGGCTTCCTTAATCGGCTGAATATTTGATTTTGAGCTCACATTTTTCACTCTACAGGCATCAGTTTATCAATAAACAAGGAGGACAATTTGTCAACTTTGAATATTAATTTTCTCAAAGCCGTCTCGAGACTGTCTGGAGTCTACTACATAAATTACACAAGTAGACCACACCTAGGAATGTGCTAAAGTCTTAGCCATGGTAACTGACACAAGTGTAAGCATTAGCCATTTGGTGTATTTTAATGTCTTCCCTCTCTGCTGTGCCTCTGATTGGTGGATAATTCTGATGTGTTTTCACAGGAAATGCTTTCTAGTTAACCCGTCAACCTACCAGCGTTTTAGCAGCGAGCACAATCCCATCAGAAATTGAATTAATTATGTTTGTTTTTCACACAACTTCAAATGACACTTGTCTATGAATGCTGCTTCTCTCATGTATTCATGTTGACTTTAAATTAATATTGCTTCTGATTCATCAGGTAACAGTGCAGATGACAAGCCATTGAAGGCAGCTAAGCATCCACAAGTGACCAAAACCCTGACAATCCTACTAGAGAGGTGTGATGCTGGACACGCTGGGGCAGCAGGAAGCCTAAAGAAAGCCAGCAAAGGTACAAACTGCATACCAACTCATTACTAATGCTACAGTAAAATGAAAGTAAATAACACAGTTTTCTTATTCATGAAAGGAGAAAAACATGTTGCTGAAAAACCAGAGGAGGAGGATTCGGCCGGTTCAGAAGAATCTTCAGAAGAAGAATAAGTAAATGAAACAAATTTCTCAAAGCGTTGTGAAACATAACGGTCACAGTTAGTGTTCATGTAAAGTTCTTCACTGTGCTTTATCTCACTATTTGTTAATTTATGCCCATTGCATTTTTACTCCAGATTTTAGGTGTGGGACCAAATTTTGTGGGTTCCTTAAAGATTTTATGCACTGTCTTTGATGCTTTGTTTTTTAATGTTACGTGCCAATTGTTTGCAGTTTTTGATTCCTATGAGTTTAATTTGTTTTTATTGTTTAAAAAAGAAGAAAACAGTGTAGCTCTCATTGCTGTAAGTTACATTTCACCTTTCAGGCATTTTAGCTTCAAGTACACCCTCAGCATGCAGCTATAAAATTCGTTGTGTTGGAATTAAAGTCCTTTCACAAAGAAATTCACATAAGAGTAAGTCACATTTGTTCAGCTTTCAGTGATTCTTTTTTTGTCATTGTTTGTCATGTTAATAACCCAAATCACAAAGGACGCCTTTAGATTTGTCCATCACAGACATTGATTTGTATGCATGGTAATTACAAAAACACCACTTTTTTCTTAGTGATTCTACATTTCAATTTGTCCTAATGAGGTCACCCAGTACAGCTTTCTGTATAGGTCTTACATATAGAGCTGGCATTATTCATTAACCTTTTTTAATTGTATTTTCTTGGCTAACTTGTCCTGTTAGAATGTGCTACCTTCAAAAAGTAGAGCTGCAACTAAGTAATTAGTGTTTTGTTTTTAGTGTTTGTTTCAGTGTTTTGAATACTTTTGAAAACCTGGTTTAAAAAAAAAAAAGGGTTACTACAGTTACACAATTTTCTTTTTCCATAAGACTGTTATAGGGTCTGCAACTAGTTAGCTTTATTATTAATTTAAAATGTCTTTATAACAAAAAAAAAGAATAATAAACACTGAAAAAGATTTTATAAAATTTCCTAAAATAATAAATAAATGGTCAAATTGCTTGTACATAATTTCTTCACATTTTAAAAGGTGCAATTAGATCATTTCTTGCCATTTGTAAAAGAAAAAAGCCCCAAACAAACCCCAAAACAAAACACAATGAAAAACTACTATTAGACTTTTAAAATCTCCAAATAATTGTCTGATTTCTTTTGACTAACTTATAAAGGTGATATTTTTGTTTGATTTTTTTTACACGACCTTTTCCCTTTGTTATTTATTTATCATTTAAATTTTAAATGGCATATTATTTAAAAAAAATTGTAAAAATCTTTATTAATAAACACCCAAACACAAATAAATAAAGCATGTTAAAAAACATTTTGAAGAAAAGTGGAGCATTTAAGTAATACACATAAATAAACAGAAAATAATAAAGGAAATAACTTCTGTACCATAAAGAGTTGCTAACTAGTCAATAAACTTGAAAATTACACAAAAAATTAATGTTACGCTGGTGTCATATGAAAATCTGTAGAAAAAAAATCACTAGTTTTTACTTAAACAATATGTGTTTACATACTTTCATCGATTGTACAAATGGCAACTTGAAAGTTGTTCAAGAAGGTACTTTGAGAAAAGCATCTCAAATTTATATCTGTCCTTGCAACGAATTCTTAAGACAACAGATAAAAAAATAACTTATTCTATGATTCAGATATTAAAACATGTGCTCACCTTTTTTAATTTTATTAGTGTGTTCAGGTTATCAGGAAAGTAAAATTTGACCTGATAATGAAGGAAATGAAAATTAAATATTTTGGGAATATGTAAAAAACATACATATTTTACAATTATGGTTATCGGAAAAAGCCTATTGCTCTATTTATATGTTTGTTTGTTTTTTAAATATTGTAACTGATTTGTTAAAATGTTTTGGCTGTATTTGCAAATGATTATATTTTCTTTTTGTACTATTCATGTGTTTAGTCCGTTTTGTGCTTAAATATTATTCTCAATAAAAGTATTAAATTTCCCAGTTTTCATTAAGTAAAGGTTTACTCAAAACAAAACAAAAACAACACCCAAGGTACAGAGTATTTGCCAAAGGAAACACTATTAAATATAAACATGTCCTTGTATAAGATTATAATAACTGACAAGAAGCACTTCTAATATATATTTTTAAGAAAGTAAAAGTAATGAAAATGCAAAGAAATACCAATACAGTACTTTAAAAATACATAAATAGATATTTTTTTAAATGTCAGGTATCAATTTAATGGAAATTTGCTTTAAGAAATAATGCGAAAAAGAACACGTTAATGGCAGTGTTAAAACGTGGTCTGAATACTTTAGAAAGGTAAATGTTATTTATAATCAAAGTTATTTTATTTGTATTTATTTATTTTGCGTTTTGCTGGCGTTTATTTGTCTTAAATTAGACAAATATTCCATTGAGTTTTGTCTGGATTCTTCTTCGCTGCTTTCTGTTGTCATCTGCAACTTCCGCCCAGCAGTAGCGCTAACTTCAGTCCTCCACACAGGCACCACTAAACTAAACTCTGCAGCTGTGCTGCTGTCGTTCTACAAGTTCGTGAAGGATAAAATCTCTTGAGTAAAGTAACGTTTGGAGCCTGTCATCTGCTGAGTTTACCTTAAAGAGCTTATCTTATCGATTTGATCTTAGATTAGCTAAGTGCTTTTTAGTTAGCATGCTGCTGCCTCAACACACCAGACAGATCCTCTTGGCTTAATTTGATTTAGTCATGACTGAATTAAGATGCCGGAAATCAGAAACTTTGGAAGGAGATAATGAAGAGGAAGAGAAACAAAAGGAGTCGGAGCTGGAGACCAAACGTAAGTTGAGCTAACTTAGCAGTTTGCTAACTGAACATGAGCTGTGTAGCTTCCAGTGGAGAAACAGTTTAATGTCAGAGCACATTTCTGTGTCGATGCTGTGACAGCCAGTCTCTCTCTGCTCTAGCACCAGATGTTGAACAGGTGAATGGGTCCAGCGCTGCAGCGGCTGATGGCTCGCAGCAGAAAGATGAAGGTGAAGTTAAAGGCGGTCAGCATGAACAGGAAGAATCAAGCAGAGCCCAGTCATGTGTCAAAGCCAAGGGCTTATCTGCATGTAAGTCCATTTCTTACATACCAGCCCACTTCATACGCTGCCCAGTGGCGTTTAAAAAACAAACAATTTGATGGTCAGGTTCATGCTGTACAGTAATGGGGACCTATTATGCTTCCATGAAGTGATCCCCGTGAGACAAAAGCTTTAGTCTGCTGTAGATGCTCTGTTTCAGACAGTTTTCCTGCATTTGTAGCTCTGAATGATGTCAGTAAGAACATCTCAGGCGTGGAAGCTCCACCCACCTGCTGTTCAAACCCCCCGTTTGCAAGGTTCAGCCAGTCAGGGGGAGGAGAAGATGTGAATCATGCAAAGCCTTGTAGTTTAGTAGTTGTACTTTCAAATTAAGTTAAAAAAAAAAAAAAAAAGCTACATAAATGCATGTTTATGTATGTCATATTTTGGTGGCTCCATAGTGTAGTGTTTGCAATTTCAGAAGGAATAGCATTGAGTGTAAAAACTCGATGCCTCAGCTTATTTATGTGTTATTATGTTGGCATGTATGATTAAAGACATGAAATGACCGATTTAAATTTTCTACCTCCATTATTATTATTATTATTATTATTATTATTATTATTATTATTATTATTATCCTTTATGTGCTTTTATTGCATATCAGAAACACTGAAGAAAGCCATTGGATGAAACACATATCTTAATTTTTACTGTCATGCAAAATTAAAAATATTCTTTACATACTTGTGAGTGCTGACCTTCTCATTAATAGAGCTGTTTGATGTGCAGAGACACAGTTCGGCAAATGTGCCATGGGCGAGTTAAGGAAGTAGCCAGGGCAAGGTTGAGCAAGTTCTTTTTGGGCAAAGTACACTAATCGAGTTCCAGCTATGAAAGTTAGCTGGTTAGGTAAATAACAAATCAGTGAAGACAGCGCCACATAACGAATCCACAAAATACATAAAATCTTTAACCTAATTTTGCTCTGCAAGCAAGCTTTTCAGGAATGCTTGTGCCGTTCAAAAATAGTGAGAGAATGAAAGAGTGAACAGTTGAGATGCTGAGACAAACTGAAGCGCTGGGGCCCGAAACATTAAGGGAAGTGTGAGGAGGAAGGGGGCTCTGTGCTCAAACATGGTAAAAGGCAACCGAGCCTACTGTGAGCACACCCTTAGAAAGCTTAGTAAATGTTAGACGCTGTAGGAGAGTAATTGAAAATGCTTCAAATACAGATAAGAGAGGTATCAAAAGTACAACCAGGTGCTGAAACACATGCCATGGTGACTCAGTGAAGTAACAGAAGTCGACTGTCCTGCAGTGGTGTTGGATCAAATGTACTAAAACATATGTCTCGACTTCATGAGTCATGAAATATTGCATCTGTGGCTTCCAGTAAACACTGAAATTGCAGTTAAGTGTATTTTTCCATCTCGCAGAGTTTTTGTACATACGTCACCAAATTTGTATGTACTGTAAGATTTTTAGACATCTCTGAAGAAGTTTTGTTTTTTTGCACGTGTTGCAATGTGTAGGAGACTAAATATAAAATGTCTCTGGCTGTACTTTGGTGGCAGGTGTAATGTTATTTTTTGTGTGTTATTTTTGTCATAGTAGTATATATGATATTGATCTCTCTGTTCAGCTCAGTTTGCAGCTACAAAGAGAAATAGTGTGTGGTAGAAAATGGTTATTTAAAGTGTGTGAGTCAAAAATCTTTCCTCTCACATTTAAGACCTACAGAAGCTTTTTTTGTTGATGATGTTGTTTTTTACTGTTAATGCTTCTTCTCCTCAGCTGTTTTCTTACAGCGGCTAGTTCGGGTGTTCTTTGGATGTCTGGCATCTGTTGCCTGTGGCATGCTGTATGCAGTGTATCTGTCCACATATCATGACAGGAAGTTCTGGTTTTCAACTCGACAGGTGGGTGACTTTTTTTTCTTTTCCTTTTTTATCTTTACTTTGCTGCCCAATCGTACGAGCTCTAAAATTTACTTTGTATATTTCTAAGGAGCTGGAACGTGAAATCACTTTCCAGGGAGGCAGTGGGGTCTATTATTACTACTACAAGCGTTTGATCGCAGCACCATCCTTTGAGCGAGGTACGAGCACACTGCCTGCTTCATGAAAGGCTTAGCGAATTTTCAATATTTTTTCCAGATTTTTATTCTTGGACTCTATTATAGAGTAGATTTATATGATTCAGAGTTTAAAATAGTCCACAGATAGCACAGATAATGACTTTAATGTTCCGCTTTCCTTATGACTCAGCTCTGTTGTTTTGTGTTTTACAGGGTTTTATGAGCTGGTGGTAGATAACAGGACCGTTTCAGGTCAGACCATTAACGCAGTCGAGCGTTTGTCTCTTTATCCGGAGCTCATCACAAGCTTCATATACAGAGTCACAGGCAGCCAGGTGAGGATTTATTTAATCAGATTTTACATTTCCTGGGTTGTCTTCTTTGTGTGTGTATTTCAAAGCAAAATGAAGCATAAAAACCACTGTGACGTCCACTCTCATTCTTGGAGGCTGAGTGTCTTCTCTTTCAATAAGCAAGGTTTGTCCCTGGGTCCATAAATAGTAAAATGTTGATTTGGGTCCTTAAAAGGACTGAGTCTTTAAATTCATAAAAGAACCTTCTGTCTGGACAGAAGGTTCTTTCATCTTCAGGGGAAACAACCCATTAGTTCTCTTTGCTTTCTCCATTCACTTTTGTCTGGAAATAGCCAGAATAGTTCAGTTGACTCAAAATGCAGAGCTGAAGATGTAATGTGACCTTCAGTGTTTGTTTTTGTAGTCATTTTCGTGAGGCATTAGAAATACTGGGGGGTTGGGTTAATGGCAGCAGAAAAGGGAGAAGAGTGGGACAAAAGTTCCTTTGCCAAACTGAGCAATGCTGCTTTTTTATTTCCATTTATTTGACTTTAATGGTGTAGGAGCATTTAGCTAACTATAATGTTTGGTATTCAGCTGCAAGGTCTGAATGTTGGCAATGTTTCTATGCATTTCCAGTTCCGATAAGTCTGTTTCTGTCAGGTTGTGCTCCTCGTATTCAAATATTTGGGCTTTTTTGGCTTTAATTTGTCAAACAAAAATACTTAAGATGAGATATTTAAGATATAGTTCTGATGTTAGTGCTTCAGTGCACTGTTTTAGTGGTTTGCGCTTTTTAATATTAAAGGAGTGCATAAGACAATGCTTTAACTCACCATTTCTGTTCATTTGAAACTGATAGATATAGAAGTTTTTCCCTTTTTGTACGTATAAATTACATAAAAATAGTTTAAAATGAAAGGCGTTAAAGTCCTAACTATAACAGCTGTACAAATGCAAGTATCCTGAGTATGTTAGAGCAGGGATATGAGAGAGAGCAGAACATTTCCATATTTAGTTTGCATTTGTGTGTCATGTGCAGCAGCAAAGAGAATCAAGTATTACGTTTAAAGTGTGCAATTTTGCACATAAAATACAATCTCTTTGCAGTGGTTTAGTATTTTAATTATGTTCCTTAATGGCTTATAGATGTGGAGAAAACATAAATGGTTTGACTGCATAACAAAAGTCTGGCTTACAGCAGAGAATGGAAATCCAAATAGAAACTAGTGGTACAGAGGCCGTACACACCCGTGTTAAACGCACTGTACATGGAAAAAGCAAAGAGAGTGTGGGAATATGTTAGTACAAGTCCTAAAACTCAAACTGGTCAAACTTCAGTATAATTTATGCTTTGATAAGTCTTGGAGCAATAAGGCTGCCCAAACAAAGCAGACCCTGTTTTACTGCCACAGCTGATTAACCCAGCTTACCTACGTCAGCTGAGCTGTTTTCATCAGTGTTTTTGGCATTAAGCATCTGCCTCTAGGCTTCTGCAGGAGTAAATGTTGCTGCATTAGTTCTGCTAGCTATGGACATCATTACAATGAAGTGATTAGGAGTGAAAAATCACAATTAAAAGTGGCTTCATTCTGCCACTTTAAGGTTTGACCACAGACACTTTTTAAGGATCACCGTCTTTGTCTTTTTCCACTGCTTCCCTTGATAAAACAGGATTTTGTGGAACCGATTTACTTCTACATTGGAGCAGTTTTGGGCCTGCAGGCGGTCTACGTCACTGCCCTCTTTGTGTGCAGCTGGGTGATGAGTGGCACCTGGGTGGCTGGCATGTTGGCCGTGGCCTGGTATGTGATCAACAGGTAAGGTGAACAAACGTTTCCTTAAGCATGAAGTTTCTTTGCCTGTCTGTTCATGTTTTCTCATTCCAGTAAAACCTTTCTGGTGACTAATGCTACAAACATCCTCCTCTATTAAAATGATTAATAAAGTTGTATTTAATTCTGTTTCTTTTCTCCCACAGAGCAGATACAACCAAAGTGGATCATGCTATTCCTCTGCGGGACAACTGGGCTCTGCCTTACTTCTCCTGGCAGGTCACAGCTTTGACTGGATTCCTGAGAAACAAAATCGGCTCTTCAACTGAGGTGAGCCCCTCATGAGCCTCATTAACACACACAAAAAAAGAAGTAATGTGAGCTAGAACTTGCACTAATGATTGAGTCTCATTCTCTGTAGATGTTCTGCTATCTTACCATGAGTGCCACCACCTTCACCTTCCTCCTGGTCTGGGAACACAGTCACTACGTGCTCTTCATCCAAGGCTTCTGTCTTTTTCTACTTGATTCTTTTGACCTGGTGCCACCACGTAAGGTAACACAGTTGTAGCTTGAACTTCTGAAATTTCATACAGTTTTCTTCAGAAATTGCAGCAGGTTCTTACTCTATATTACTTTAAACTAACAATTTTGCATTTATGATGTTTTTTAATGCAACTTGTGGGTTTAAAACAGGGAAAATCCTGCCGACTGTTTAAATAAAACTGTGTTTTATTTTCTCTTCTCTGATTGGCTGTCTTTTTCTTCTTCATCTCTCCATTTCTGGGATGAACAGATAGCTGACATCCACAAGGTGTACCTCAGCTCCTTGTTCCTGGCCTACATGTTCCAGTTTCAGAACACAGCCCTGCTCAGCTCGCCTCTGCTCAGCCTCCTCATTGGCTCAGTTCTTGCGAGGTACTTCCAGGTAGAGTTAGCTTCCCCCTCGCAGCTCAGTCATGACATTAGATAAACTCTTTAAAGTGAAAATTGTTTTCAGCTTGGAGCTTTTCAAATGGGAGTAGCTCCATTAACATTTGCACTTTTTTTCTAGCAAAGGATGAAGGTGGGTCCTCTTGTGGCAAGAGTGATGAAGCTCTTCCTACATTTTTACCTGGTCTTCACCTCTGGGATCACCTACAGTTATTTGGTCAAGGTAAGTCATATGGGAGCAGGGCATCTGTGTAGCATTCAGTGGCTGATACTCAGTTTCAGTTTTTGGGTTGAATGCAGTGTTTTGTTTTTTTATTTACAGAAACTAATTGCTGCAAATGAGAGCGACTTCATATTGAAGTTCCTTGAAGTAAAATTTGGACTCAACACAACAACGTGAGTCGTGTTTTTTGTTATTGACTTAGAGCAGTAACCTTATTAGTGAGAACTAATCTGATGTAATCTAACATAATAATCTTCTTTTTTCTTCTCTTCAGCGACTTTGTCCCCAACTTCCTCTTGTGCCAGGAGAGTTTCCAAACGCCCGGTCAGGACTTATTTCTACGTCTGACGCAGGCCTCGGTCCTCCCCTTCTACTTCCTCGTGCTCACCGTGTGCCTGCTTTCAGCCTTACAGGCAATCTACAGAAGGCTCAGGTGAAACACTCGTGGTGCAAAATCTTTCTGGTCTAACAACAGACAGCACCATGCTGTCATGAGCTGGTTTCTGAAGTCTTGTTTTAAAGCCTCAAGTTGCCTAGTTGCTCAAGTTGCCAACAGCATAAACATGGTAAAGAAGTGGAGATAAGGTGAACCTGATCCACGTTACTAGACCAATTGCAGCAGCTGAATTGGCACACCTGTCACTAAGTTACCAAACCACTAACTTAACAAAACCTTTGGACAGGCTAACTACGTAAGTCGTAAAAAGCTCCTTTATAGTTGTTACTCATAATAATACATTTATTTGTGCAGCACTTTTTAAAAAGCACAGTTACAAAGTGCTTCACAGTTTGAATAAAAGTGACACATTTAATACAAACACATAATCAACATACAGTCATTCATTTATTCCAGCATGCACACTTCTATACATTCATTAGATGGAGAGTATGGCCAAAATTAATCGGAGAAGTATTAATAAAAGGCTAACGTTTAAAACTAATTTTTCAGATGTTGTTGAAAGCACAGACTCTCCCGATGGCTGTTCCAAGGTTCAGACCCTATAATCTCAAAAGCATGGTTACTTCTGATTTTTCAATGAGAGAGGATGATCTAAGAAGCTGTTGAGACTCCTCTTATAAGGTTTCAGTAGCTCTGCTGTGTTAGCAGTAGCCTGGCCGTGTAGCACTTGATGAGTTGTGTCTGAATTTTGAAGTGAATTCTGAATTTCATTGGAAGCCAGTGAAGGGAAGCAAAGATGGAAATGATGTGCAAACGCCTGCTAGTTCTCATTAGCAGCCTGCATTCTGGACCAGTTGAAGTTGGATTAGTAAGATTTGAGAGATGCAAATAAAAATAGAGTTACAATACTCAAGGCAGGTGAAAATTAAAGTGTGCACTAAAAGTTCAAAATGAATAAATGACAGTACAGGATTTTTGCAGTTTCTCTTTTATGAAGGAAACAAGACTGGATGAACTTAGAGAGATGAAATTCAAAGTTCAGATGTTGATCAACAATGATAACCAGCTTTCCAACAGATGAGCTGATATTGTGGGAAATTGAATGAAATTAAATGTTTGTACCAAACTATTGAATTGAACTGAATATGCAAATTGATAACAAATGCAGTCTTCATGTGTCTAGTAGAGTAATAATTAACTGGTAGTTGATACTATGTTAGCAAAATGTGTTTGCCCAATAACACAGTGACATATGCTGGTGACTCTTGTGTTGTTGTTGTTTTTAAGCAGTCATTATATTTATACTTTTGGCTAAAATCTTAATGTAATTTTCCCTCACAGCGGTCAGCCATTGTGCAAAACCTATAGCCTTGAAAATGGAGGAATAGGAGAGAAGCCAGAGGTCGTCTATCATGTTTTCCACACCATGCTGTTTGGGGGTCTCGCTCTGCTCTTCGATGGGTACGTTGGGGTTTTTTTTTTGTTTTTTTAATAATTGAGGTTTGTTCACCATATGTTATTCAGCACAGCTTTTCATCGCCTATGTTCTTCTGTCTTGCAGGATGAAGTATTTATGGACACCATACGTCTGCATGTTTACAGCATTTGGGGTTTGTTCTCCTGACCTCTGGATGACAGTGTTTAAGTGGCTCAAACTGAAGTCCATCCACCCTGTAGTATTGGTATGGATGTTTGTTTATAGTGCATGAGAAACAAAACCAAATGTCTTAAAGTAAACAGGTTTCTTTTAATACAGTCTGCACAGAAGGGGAGGTTTAGGTATATACCGTCTCTTTAACTTACCTTTATGCTAAGTTTCCAAACAAATAGTATATTATCTATAAATTGCCGGTAATATCCAAAGGAATGAATGGATCCTGTCACAGTTTGTCATTCCTGAACTCAAATGAGATATTTGAACTGTTTTATTCGGGCTTCAGAGCTGTTCACAGCACTGAAACAGCTTTGTTGAAACTGACCGATGATCTGTTACTCCCATTAGATTCAGGTGATAATGCAGTACTGATTTTGTTGGACCTCTTCACTTGTTCAGATGCTGTCTTGTGGATAGGACTTTCTGTATGCCTATTGTGTGTATCACTCCTTGCCCATTTGTCTTGTGGGGTCCCTCAGGGCTCTATCCTGGGCCCAGTCCTCTTCTGTTCATATCAGCTTCTATTGGTAGTATTAGGAGCCATATTATTTCATTTCATTTCTATGCTGATGAAGACAGTAGAGAATCTCAGGATTTCTTACTATCTTGAAGAAATTAAAGGTTAGATGACTAAACAGTGACAAATCTTTGGTCCATTCAAATCTAGTTCTTTTGCCAATATTTTAGATAATCTCATCCCATATTTATGGTAAATGGACTGATACCTGTGGAGTACTTATTCCCTCTAACTGAGCATTCAAAGCACGTTTTATTTCAAACATCACTCACCCCCAATTACACACATTCAGACAAGTGATTTTTTTTCTACACCTAATTCTATTGTCTAATTTTTGCACCCAGACTCTAACTCCAATTGATTTGTCTGGGTAACTCAGGGCTCTGGCCAACAGACTGTATCAAATTAGACCTGGATGTTATTTTTGACTCAAAGTTTTGCTTTGACAAGCAAGTTAAGAGTCAATGCCAAACTCAAATCTTTCCTGTCTTTTCGTGTTCTGGAAAAAGTCATCTGTGCTTTTATTATTTCACATCTGGATTATTGTACCTCACTATACCTAGATCTCCCTCTGTTTTTTTGCAGATGGTTGCACAGTAAGAATGCTGACTGGCACTACCAAATATGAGCCCATCAGCCCAGTCGTAGCCTCACTGCACTGGCTTCCTGTTTATTTTAGAATTCAGTTTAAGATTTTACTGATTGTTTTAAGGCCCTTAATGGGAAAGCCCTGGCTTATATTACAAGTCATGTTCTCTAAATGTTACATGTCCCAAGGTTGTGCCTCAAACAACAAAGTTACAGAGCCTTTACAGTCACTGCTCCACAATTGTGGAATCGGTTACACCTTGACATAAAAATAGCACCCTACATTTCTCTTTTTAAGTCTAGGCTCATACCCCATCTAAACTCTGTCCTTTTTTAACCAGCTTATGGTGGTTGTTGTCCTTATTTTGTATTCCTGGCTGTAGCGCAGGAAGTACAGGTAGAGCAAGTAGCCTAATGATTGGAAGGTTGGTGGTTCGATCCCTAGCTGCTCCACTCTTCTTGCCACTTATCATTGGGCAAGATGATAACCCCAAGTTGCTCTCCAGTGCATCCATTGGAGTGTGAAAGTGTGTGACTGCTAGATAGAAAGCATTTCAGAAGGTGTTTGTGTGAATAGGTGAATGAGGCATGTTGTAAAAAGCGCTATTTAAGTCCAGAAAATAGAAAATAAAACACATTTACCATGCGTTTGCTTATTGTTGAAAGCCTCATTATTCTGTATTGTATTTGTTTTCACTTTTTACTTATCTTTATCATTATCTTTAAATCGTTTTTTGGCTTATAACATGAAGTAAGAACTTAAAGAAGAAGCTAAAAGAAGATACTGAAACATCAAAGTTAAAGATGAACTTTATTATAATCGTTTTGGTATAAGCAGCTTAAATGAAGAGGAATAACGTATTATAATACAATATGACAAAATAGATCTCTCAATAAAGTAAAAATTACACAGAAAGAAGTTCACTTAAATAAAGAAGATAACATAAAGACATTCAGTAAGTAAAAGGAGGCAGTAGAAGTAAAAATACGTTTACAAAAATCTGAATATATTACAAAACAGTTCAATAAATACATTAAAGCTAAATTTAAAAAAATGTTTTTCCCCTCATGAAGAGAAAGGAGTAAGTATCGACACAGTTGCTAACCGTGTTTTCTTTTCTTTTTACCCTCCAGTCCTTGATTCTGAGCACAGCTGTTCCCACAATCATTTGCTTCAGTTTGTGGAGAGAGGTGAGGCGTTCAGCCCCTTTTACGTGGGAGCTCTTTATGTTAGACACACTTTATATCTCCTGCGTAACGCTCTTTCTCTCCCATTCTGCAGTTCTCTCCTCGCGTCTTAGCAGAGTTATCAGAACTGCAGGAGTTCTACGATGGAGACACAGTGGAGCTGATGAGCTGGATCAAGTGGGTCTTTAGAACTTCCTGTATTTATAAAGATATTTGTAAAGTATTTTATCATGGCATCAACCATCGTCTTTCCTCCTCATGTAGGTCACAGGCTCCGGTGGCAGCTGTGTTCGCAGGCAGTCCACAGCTGCTGGGAGCAGTGAAGTTGTGTTCGGGTTCAGCTGTAACTAGTTTACCTCTTTATTCAGACATCAACCTGCTGAAGAGGACTGAAGATGTGAGTTATCATTGACAACATATCTGTTACCTTAACAGTGCTGCTGTCAAGAAGATACTTGTGTCTTATAATCAGCTATAAAAAATGCCTGTTAGTCATATTGGTTAAAGTGCTGAATGTGAATTTTAGTCCAAACAGAGACTGGTGTTCCACATGTTTCAAAGTAAATTATTAGTTTTATTGTTGGGTCTTTAAAATGTAAAGCACCTTAAACTGGCTGTTTTTGTGATTTGGCGCAACACAAATAATATTGAAATGAAATTAACTGAAGTTTAACAGAAAATAAAAGGAGGTAATCTTTCCTTTCCCAGGCGTACCAGGTGTACGCAATGAGATCTGCAGAGGACATCTACAAGCTCCTGACCGCCCAAAAAACGAACTACGTGATCATCGAAGAGTCGATTTGTAATGAGCTCACTATTAATAAGGGCTGTAGGATCAAAGACCTGCTCGACATCTCCAACGGACATGTGAGTTTAAACCCTTTCCTCCGTTATAGATTTCTTACAGATTGGACAATTTTGAGTGGATATCAATAATATGGTCCTCTGTTGTACACACACCTACTGATTAGATCTTTTGAAGATGGTTGACCTTAAAGGAAAAGGAGCTAAAATAGCATGTTTCAGACAGTGGCTACACTAAGAACCCAGAGTATGATCAATGAAGATTATTTTTAACTTTAAATCATGCATAGCTACTCTAGCGGAGTCCAAGAATAAATAATTTTCTGCTACTACTTTGTTATTAGTATTGCTTATCCAATCATGTAGCCATAATCAAGACATTAGTTGCAGAATATTTTGCAAACTCTACAGAATTCGAGTCTTTTATACTTTCACTCATGATCTGTATGTTTGTCTCTTGCAGATCGTCTATGACAAAGGTGAGATATACTCCTTCTCCAAATATGGACGATTCTGCCACGAGATAAAGATGAACTACTCGCCCTACACAAACTACTTCACACGAGTTTTCTGGAACCGCTCGTACCACGTCTACAAAGTGAACTCTGTCATCTCCTTTCAGTACTGACGGCCAAGCGTGGCTCTGCCCCTCCTCAGGTGTTCCTGATCGTATCCACAGATCGGCACACCGGGGCGAAAAAACTCTGATTATCATGGTGTCAGTGGGGAAGCTGCACATTCAAACACAAACAGTGAGGCTCAGCTGAGCACACTGCACCGGCCAAACAACATGTATGGACGGCCATATTATTAATCACTGTACTGTAGTTTTATAAGCCATGTGTTACTGTTAATGTTACTATGAATGGTTTCAATGAAGGTGTGAGTCGCAGAGATCAGTGTAGGCTGAGAAGGGGAAAGTGTTTGCCATGAAATGAAGCAGCCAGAGGTTTAATCCTGTTCACTGATTGGCCCTTTTGTGCTGACAGTGATTGGATAGGATGCATAATTATGTTCCTTTCCTTTATTTTCAATCACTTTTATCAAGTTTATTTTTTTAAACACCTGCAAAACTGTAGACCTTTGAATCAACATCAGTTAGGGTGCTGATTAAAAAATTATGGCATTAGCATTTAGCTCAAACCAGAGCTCCACAGACACTCCAGTGTGGCTCTTGACCCTTTTTTTTTGGGGGGGGGGGGGGGTTAAACTCCTTTTCTTGGGGAAAAATCTTTATGCATTTAATTTGATTTTTGTCTTAAATGTTTTGCTTTTCTGTTCTGTTCATGTGTTATAATCACGCTACTGTTGTCTACTTAAAGAGAAATGGGTGTCTTCTGTCTAAATTATGAATTTCATGTATTATACTAGCATAGTTGGATCATTTTTGTCTTGATTTAAAGGAAATAATTAGACTGAATCACTGAGCTAATAATCATAATCGGCAATCAAGAATTTCAAAATGAAAGTGCTTTATAACAGGATAACACGTAAGATTAGTCAGAATAGTTTTTCGCTTGATTATGTAATTTTAAGGTTACCAAAAAACCAAATAGTGACAAGCATACATGCTCTTGCTTTCTGTCATGTTCTGCCTTTGTTTGCTTATGAAATACTCATGCAGTGCATGTGTACGCGCTGTTCTTTGAAGGGTTGTTGCTGCTTTGGTCGGCTTTCGTGGGAAAGGCGTCTCTCTGTACTGTTTGCTGCTTGTTGTGTGCTCTGATCTGTTAAAGGGAAGTGGAAGAAGACTGTCCAGAAAAGTGTTATCAGTTTTTATTTGTTACTGCTGCCTGAAATCTACTGAAAATAACTGATATCTGAAGTAGGCATGTCTTTACACACACATTTATATGTCTGAACTCACTGGTTGCTCCTATTGTGCTCTGCTTTTTTTATTTTATTTCTTTGACATGAGATGGTTGTATTCATGGCCTATATAAAAAGGGTTGACTGAACTACCCAGGACTTGCACAACCTTCTGCAATCTTCTAAACTGAGCTTTTTCAGCATTTTAAGGTGGTGGAGGCTGGTCCTGGATGCCTTATGTAAAGACATGGCTGCCATGTCTGTATTCATCACTTCCAGGCATGACTGATAATTTCCTATCCCCGAGCTGTTACCTTAGGGTTTTGGTGATGAATTCCTCTTGGTGCTGTCATACAGATAACAAGGTGGCCGTGTGGTGAGTGTGTGAGGTGAATAAATATAACACTGAGCTCTTCTCGTGTGGTTCTTTTAACATTATCATTAGCATCATCAGAAATGGTCTTAGTGCAAGAGTTTGTATCAAGACGCTGTTCTTAAAGATGAGGTGGCTCAACAACTGTGTAATGTATGTTTAATCTACTACAGCTCCAAAAATATACGTTTTTAACTTGAATAAACATTATTGCATATATAAGCTGTCAATAACGTCAATTCAGTTATTAAATTTAATAAAAACAGCTAGAATGGAGAACATTAGAAGAGAGTATTCCAGAGGAACAGCTCAGCTTGAGTGGTTTGGAAACAAAGTTAGAGGCAAGCCCGAGATGGTTTGGTGCATATGAAGGATAGTGGATTTATGAGATGAAGGATTTTGGAGATGGAGCTGTCAAGCAGGAGACCACAGAGAAGACTCATGAATGCAAGATAATAACTGCAGGCAATTTTTACATTATAAAAAGCAGTTTGTAGTAATTTCAGTCTTTTATTTTCATTGTCATTAACTGCCAAAATTGCAGTAAGCATAATGCTGCATTCATGGCCTATCGGTAGAATGGAAAACAAGACGATTGAGCGCATTCTGCTTTATTTTGTGCTCTTGCTCGCTTTTTATTTCACATTTATCTAAGGTTAGCTATGGTTAACGTCTTACGCAATCTCATAGTTGCACTATAAACTGCCTAAATGAGCAAATTTTCGCATTATGTGTTTATAGTTTGGTTTACATTTGAAAGTAAATCCCGACAAACGTTTTAAATGATTGAGTTAAGTTTATAGTATAGGTCTTATTTTTCTTTTCTATTTCTAAATTCACTGTCAGCCGTTTTAACGTCCGTGCAAATAACTCGTCCGACCCTAAAGTTTTATACGAATTGAACCAATGGGACCTGAACGCGGCATAAGTATGCGCAATCATGGCGCATTTTTGTGTGTCCTTGGCGACGAAGCGGAACCGGAATTACGAAGGAAATATGGCGCAGGGCACAATGAATTATGAGAGATTCAGTTAGTGTAGCTGGTCCAGCTCCTAATTTTGACATTTTGGTGCACATTTTGCCCTCCTGTCTTCTGAACGATTACTGTGCCCCGTTAAGGTAAGACAGTTGGTCCCTACATGCGCGGAACAACCGCCAAAATCTAGCCGGCTAGCCGGAATATTAGCCAAAAGACTCCTGGCTCCAAACATAACACAGAATAGGAAGGTGGCGTGCGTTTGGTTTGTTTACAGTGGCAGCCCGAAACATCATCTGTAAGCGTGCATTCTTGTAGGTTCAATGGGTAAATCTGATGCCCCCGCCCAGTTAGGACGCCCCGTGAAAATGATTAGAGCTCTCTAAACAACTACTGAAAATTTTAGTGTTCGCTGCTCTGACAGGTGAAGCTATCTAACCTATTATGGAAGTAAATATCTAATAATAGTTACAATTATTTTGAAACTATAAATATTTTTGTTCACAAAATATGAAATTTTATATATATTTACCATCTCCAAGATTTTTAACGAGTGAAAGTAACATTACATGATTGTAAATATACTTAATTTCAAAGAGTGAAACGTAATTACAGAGTTTTTAATTAAGTATCAAAGGTTTAATGTACATCAAAATGCCCTAACTGTTCAATATTACAAATACAGTCATGTGGAAAAGAAAGAAAAACTAAGTGCAACATATGATTCAGTAGTGTTTGGAAGCTTTAGCAGCAGTAACTTGATGCCATTTTTTAAAATTACTTTCTGATGCTCTTCGTGGAGCTGCTGAAGGAGGAAGAGAGGAAGGTCCTGGTGGAGCAGATTATCTTTGCCTGATCATTTCATTTTTCCTGACAAAAATTCCCAAGAGAAGGTAGTACTGTTAACCTTACAGTCACCTGTTTATACACTAGTTCTCCTTAAGATGAGTGAACTAATCTAGTGTATAAATATAATAGAAATAAAAATAAATACATTATGTGGTTTTTCCTGACAAAGAACTTACATTAAAAACCCCAAACACTTTATATTTATCCTTAAGATCCATTCTAAATAAAGCTGATGTTCATATCTGCATATCTGCAGACGAGGATGAGTGCAGAAGCAGCAGACCGTGTGGCCGCTGTGACCAGCAGTCGGCCTGGCACGCCTCTTCAGACTTCCTGGTTTGAGTTTCTCCTCGACGACAGCCTGCTGGAGAAACACCTGCAGAAATCAAACCCAGGTTTGTTCAGCCTTACTCGTGAGTCCATCGTTTATTTTTAATGACATCTCATGGACTTGTAAATGCTTGTTAATAACTGTTCTTTCTGCAGACCCAGCACCAGTGCAGCTCATCATCCAGTTCCTGGAGCAGGCGTCGAAGCCATCAGTGAATGAGCAGAATCAGGTCCAGCCTCCAGCCGACAACCGTCGGAACCGCACATTGAAGCTGCTTGCACTGAAAGTAGCTGCTCACATGAAATGGGATCTTGAGGTGCTTGAGAAAGGGTGAGTCAGAGTGTTTTAGATGGACATCTTTTGTTATCAGAGTGTGTTTACGAAAAAGCCAAGTGGAATATGTCTCAGCGTGTAATTTAACAAAAATTCCTATTATGCAATTCTCTAATACCTGCTCGGCAGATTGACCATTCCTGTGTTAAACATGCTGCTGAATGAACTCCTGTGTGTGAGCAAAGTGCCGCCAGGGGTGAAACATGTGGACCTGGACCTCTCTACTCTTCCTCCCACCACTGCCATGGCTGTCATCATCTACAACCGCTGGTGAGTGAGATGACTCTCTCCGAAAGCAGCTGTCATGAGCTCAGTGGTAAACTAGTAAAATGGACTATGGACGTGTTTATTTATGTTTGTATCCAAGTCTTAAACTGTAAATGTAGATTAAAAGAGGATGCATGAATAGAGATTGTGGCAGAGAATTAACCACTGATTAGTCTCATTTATATTTTGTCTGTTAAAGGGCCATCAGAACAATTGTGCTGAGCAGCTTTCCAGAGAAACAAACCAAACCTGGACCCCACCAGATAAACATGTAAGTCCTTCTTCTTCCTCTTCCTCCCCTTTATCACTTATTGCATCCACACTTACATGTTTTTATTTTCAAATTTGTGTTATGCTATGTTACCACCTGCCTACCGCTCTGCTCCTGTGCTGGAGTTTTAGCCCCTCAAAGACTTTTAGAAGCACATCTGCCGCTGTTTCAGTTTTAAATCTCTGGGATTGTGTTTTTGTGTTGCCAGCCAGACATTCAGACTTCTGAAAACATTGAGACATTGTTCTACCCACATTCATTTGCTGATTGGCTTTAATTAGTCACAAAATGTTAATTTAAAATTCTCATTGAGACAGATCACTTTCATCTTATTTTAAAATTAAAATATTTTATTGTGTAAATATACACAATAAATAAAAAATGTACTTGTGCTCATCTAATTCTTTGTAAAAATACCAACATCCAGGCTTAATTTTGCAAATTTAGTGAAAAAATAAATCATGTATTCCACTGAATGCTTCTGTTGTGCCCTGATTTAGGTTGAATATTGTACAGCAGGAGAAAGAAATGACTGAAAACATCCTCACTGTGGTGAGTAAGCACCTTTTTTATGATCCATACATACTCTGTGAGTACATAAAACTATACCTTATTAATTATATTATTAGACATGTCATTTAAATTTCAGATAAACTAACAGCAGAAGTTGATACTATTTTTAAAATGTTTCATTCCTTCAGCTAAAGGAGCAGGCGGCTGATTCCATCAGTGTGCTGGAAGGAGCTGTGAGACTGAAGAAAGACTTCTACGTTCACACCATGAGGACTCTGGACCTGCTGGCCGCAGACACTGCTGCCAACGGAGAGACAGAGTCTTCGACCGCAGGGCTTCGCATCAGCGCCGATGAGCTGCACTGCCAGGTTGGCTGAGTGCACAGCGCTGTCTTTCTAGAACTCTAATCCTTCTGGAAAAAAAGTGAATTTTTCTTTGGAGTAATAGAAGGATTTGTGTTTCAGGTGCATTATGATTTAGGAGGCATTTTCTTCCATCAAGGCTGCACAGACCTGCCAATCTATGAGAAGGCTCGGGATCACTTCAGACAGACAAAGGAACTTTTAAAGAAGGTAATCATATTTTATCACAGCTTCAATGACACAGTATGATTTAACTTTCTCAGGAGAGCCACAAGATGTAACTTTTCTCACAAAAGCTGCTGACATGGAGCTTTAGCAGTGGTTCAGTTTACCTTTTTCTCTACGCCTTTTAGCTAGACTCAACAGTTCATGTTCACCTGGATGAGAAGCGCCTGGCTGGATACTGGAACGCCTGTAGAGCTTTGACCGGAGACTGTGACCCCTCTGACCCCCAGACGACACCCTACGACCAGATTAACAGCCTGATCCGGGCTCACAACTACCCGGTCAGGGCAAACACATTGGAGAGATTTGAGTACTGCATTCTTATGAGTGTTGTGTTGCTTAGGCAGAAGTAGGTTGACATCACAAATAGGGGGCAAAAAATGGTTTGTAAACTCCACTTTAATTCTCTGCAGGCCGTCATTGAAGCCTTCATCAAAGACAACATATCGCGCAGTTTGCCAAACCACTTCAGACGGTCTATTCTCCGGGAGTTCTTGTATAAAGTCCAACAAGGGTGAGGAAACAACAAAATCAAACCTCTCTGCACGCACTGCAGCTAGCACAGACTTCAGTCACTGATCCACAGAGAGTTGTTATGGTCTGTTCTTTCACTCATTCTACTTGTGGAAATACAGTTTCTGTGGTTTCTTTGTGGACCACAAATTTTCACCTTTAAGCCAACAGCTGGAATTGGTTAACACATTAAGCTGATATATACCATTAAATAGTCAATAATTTTGTAAAATAGTCTTGTAAAAGCATTTTATGCATTCATATTTTTGTGTAACATCCCATCTCCCTGCAGGGAATCAGGCCTGGATGAGGTGTGTCACAAACTCTGTGTCTGCAACGCCGTCCGCGACACTCTGGAAGGAGAGATCCTCAGCGTGCGTTTTCAGCAGCTGCTCCTT